AATCTTTTTCTGAATGTAATGATTCTAATGAAGTTTAGAGAAAACTCATGGAATTATGATGGGGCAAAGTTAGTGGTCTTGGCTCAACTTACACAACAGTGATTTTGCCTACTTTGTGTCCTATTTAAGGCCAATTTCACTGTTCCACTCTAACAAATTCTTAGCAAGTTTGATAGTATGCCTTCCATTCTAATGATAAGAGTACAAGAAACTGCCCATTCAACTACCTAATAATCAGAATTCAGTAATTTGGCCAATTTCACACACAAAAATATCGATTTAAAAATAGTCAATACAATTTATACATTCCTGGCACTGAAACAACATTTCCTCTGTTCTTTAGTCATATCCCAGGCCTCTCCTACATTACACTTGCTTTCCATTTTGAATTCTTATTCATACAATAATAGAAGATATACACTGTTTCTTAATAATAAAATATACCCAACAAAGACTGCTCATGGTTCACAGCATTCAAATAATTAAATCAGATCTATTAAAAACTCATAAAACAGACTGGGGATTGCAGGGGCAGCCTTACCTGTCCTCTGGAATATCAGCAAAAATCTAATATTTCTGCTATTTTGTGCTTAATTTCAAGCTACTTCCAGTCCTGAAGCCAATCAAAATAATTTCTATATCAGTAATATGTCTTTCTTTCTATCAAATAAGACACCATCCAAAGTTACTATTTTAAACTATACACACAGTTTTGTTTTTCCCATCATGCACTCTATGGGGGCAAGATTTTTTTTACGGTGCACACTCACCATACAGATCCATTCTCTCATATCACTCAGTTTACCTGAATGAGCTGAACTCATGAAACAGAACTATATCAGGGACCCTGGTATACACAACGTAGTTCTACGTGACAGACAATGAAAAGGTTAATACTGTATAAAACGTGAAACTATGTTTATTGAAGACAGAGAAATAATTAATTATACGATCTTTCCAGAGTTGAAGTCAACAGCCCACATGGTGTATCTAACAAGACTGCAAATGATGTTCCCAAGACTGGCACTTGCACATGTGTCCTATCCATATATGCAGGCCAAGTTTGTTTCAAAATGAAGGTGTTCCCCCTAAATTCTTAAACTTCCCTTTGTACATTCACACTTCATGTTGTAGCTAGTACCTGGGCAAAATGTTCTAAATAAACAATGTGTATCAAACAAAAGCAAAATTGCCAAATGGTAAATGAAACAGTACTAGAAAAAATTATAAAGCTGTTTAATTTTCACAGCAATTATGGTTGTATATTAAAAAATCATGTAAAGTACTGAACATGTGTGGGTCATTCCTTGCTGAATGGTAGTATTCACAAAATGAGGAGAGAGGCCTTCCATTAGTATTACTATTATTTCTGTACATTAAAAAGTGTTAATCCTGTGTGACTATGGTTACATATCTCAAGTAGTAAGTATATATGCTGAGAGTTTGTCCAAAATGCTCTGCATACTGTGGCCTTTGAATTTACTGTACTTTTACATCAAATGAATTTTAATAAAAATGTTATTAATAACTAGGGATTACAGGCAGCCTTACTGACCCCAATCGTGTCAGTAGGCTTTAAACTTAATAAAGCAATCAATCATGTAGATCATTTAGAAGTGTGTAGAGGTAGCAGCTGAGGGCAAGCAAATTAGTTGGTTGATTGGGTTCAAAGCATATCTATTATACAGGTCATTAAGGTTGCTTCTAGCCTGTTTCAGCACCAGTCAAGACCTTTATCCATAAAATATGAATTAAAGTCAACTCTGAGCGCACACACACCTCAAGGTATACATAAATCTTGAGAGTAAACAAAACCTGGAAAAATCATTAACCATATAAAGAAATTAAAATAAGCTGTGCAGTAACTCAACAAGCCTGCTACATCCATTGGTTTTTTCTCCCCTTCCTTAGATCAAACATGATTGTTTTCCATGCCTCAGATACTACGAACATAATGGTGATTCATGTAATGATAACCCCAATTATTATTTTTATACCCCTAAACAGAAGTTCCTTAATGCCAGTGAGAGGGCTCTTGATCCAAGCCAATGAACTACCTCCCATTTTCCCAGGCACTTTAAGCACTTCATGAAAATAATGACATGTATTACAGTCATAGGTCATTCAACCTATGGGGGTCATATAGTGCCAGGAAGAATGGGAGCCATTCAAGTTCAATCCAAGGAGGAGGAGCACAGGTACAATTCCTTAGACCAAGGAGCCCCTCACCAGCATCAAGAAAAATAATAGTCATAAAATCCTCCCAACAATTACAGTTACAAAAATATATTATGCCTCTAATCAAGTTCCTACACTTATTCAAAAGAATTTTCTTCTGATTTATTATACAGTAGAGCCCCACTTATACAGAAGGTTAGGTTCCTACTGTAGTCATAGGGAAGTGTTAAACTCACAGGGTCATACAGCACTTAGGAAATGGGAGGTAATCAGGTTTGATCCAAGGGAAGAGTAACTCTGATTTCTTGAATGTTGGTCTGGCTGTATAGCACTTGTGGTTTACCACTTTTTGATTGTAATAATAATAATTGAATGGTGGTCCATAATACAAATATACCTGTAACAGCCCCACATAAGTTTGAGATGAATGGATTGAGTACAGTCTGGTAACCTCCAAGATACATACTAGTGTGAAAAACATTTTTGCGAGGTCTAGGGGATGGCAATTTTGTCAGCCGAGAGAAGCAATGAGCAGTTGTAATAACTCATCAAAGAGGCATAAATCAGTAATAGACTGTAAATGCATGGTTGGTGTAACAGTGCTGTATGGCCCTTGTGGGTTTAGTACTTAGTTTTGATTACAATAATAATAATTGTTGGTGTAATCCATCCTGCAAGAAGGATAACACCAATAACACACAAGTAGGCCAATAGAACCTGCATTCTCACATCATGGACTGGGAAAGAGCTTTTAGCCCATTATGTAGTAAGGCTTTAGAAAAATTCTGAATTTTACACCATTTCAGAGTTAAAATCTTTGACACTAACGAGACTAAATGAAGAATTTTAGAGGTAACTACAGTCCACCTCACCAATAACATGAAACAGGACTCTGGAATGTATTAGCTAAACTTACATTATGTATCCTGATTCATATAATAAACTTGAACGTGTTACCACTGCCCTGACTACTGTTTTCACCAATACCTGACCTCTGGGTGCTTGTCTGCCTCATAAGGTGATGAATTAAATTATTCCTGTATACTCAAAGTCCAGCCATCAGTGACATGTCATAATAAAAAGATTTCCATGCTACCAGTCTCTATTTCCATCTTAGATCTCCCCACTGACCAACTTTTAAAATATTTTGATATATGGGAGAAGTGCTGATGAATGGGAGATAATCAAATTCAATCTAAGGATGGGAAGGATAGCTCTAATTCCTTGGATCAAATGATTCACTGGCCTGAAATACTCAGCAAGCTATTGACAACATATGTTAGACTAAATTTAGTGTATGCAGAGATGTTGCAGTGTCCACATCTTAAAAAAAAAAAAATATGAAGCTAGAAAAATTCTATAGATGAGCAAAGTGAATTCCAGTATTAAGTTATGAAGGCTGAAGCACAAGGTATGTCAATTTGGTCCATAAAAGAAAAAGACATAACCACAATCATAATAAAATGATACACAAAGAACAGATAAGGAAGATAGTAACACAACTACAAAAAACAACATAACTTCAAGCCAATAGGACACTAGAATTTTTTTTCCTCACAGAGCAGCTGATTTATGGTATGGTTACTAAAGGAAATCAATGCTTCAACCAGTGATAACTTAAAAAATAACTTTAAGACAGACTAAATGCTGATGACAGGACACCCTGAACTTAGTTCTGATCCTGTAGCTACAGTTAGGTAATCAGCTAACAGAAAAAAAGAATCGATGCATAACCAGTAGAATGCTACAGGTGAAGCTAACATCTACCATCCTGTCTTACCTCTATCCACCCACCAAAGAAGCTTACTGCCCAGAGCAAAGCTGCAGCTTCAGGAGAAGGTTCGACTTTCAGAAGAGCAGAAATGAAGAGTACAAGTATACCTCAGTAATACAGCAGGTTAGGTTCCAGAACGCTGCTGTAACGTAAATATTGCCTTAGAGCAAATCACAGCCTTTTTTTTTTTTTTAACTTGCCAGTGAATATAAAAGTCTAAAAACATTTTTACACTATCATTTATGGCAAAAAACATGTTTACACTATCATTTAATATGCCTAACAACATGTTTATGCTATCACTTATTAAGTGCACAATAGCACCAGACCTAAAAAAAGATGAAAAAATAAAAATAAAAGTTTTTTTAAATTGCCAAAACCCATGTTAAGAGCAGGGCAAGCAATGAAAATAATAAACATGAATATAACTGAAAAGCACAGTACTAGCGAAGCGATCTAAAGCAAGCGCCATATTAATGAGGCATGCCTGTGTAAGTCTCTGTGAACACCGAAAGCATAAGTTAGCATTTAATCAAGCCCTTACAATAAGGCCATAGCCACACTGGGAGCAGAAGTCACATCTGGTGAAGGCACATCAATGAAGAAATTTACCACAGAAATGAGTAAATATCCTGGGGATGTCATTCAATAGCCCAGCTGATATAGATATAAAATAATTAGCCTGTTGATATGGATGAAACATATACAGCTCCATGATATGGATAATAGGAATCAATGGCCTAATGATGCAGATACGACAGATGGTGTATTTCATTATAACAGCTTCTAAATGTCCAATCTTTGTATTTTTCCTGTCATTTCTGTGTAATAATAGCAATAATAATAATAATAATAATAATAATAATAATAATAATACAGTAATAATAGTAATTATACTTATCATTATTTTCCATTACACAGATTAAAATTTAAAAAAATTATGAGCAAGTATAATGTAATAATACTGATATAATACAGTGAAATATAATCCAGTCAATGTTCAAAAAGTAGTGTGAGTAACCCGTTAACACAAGATGTGATAACTGCTTCATCTTTTAGCTGCCCTTTTATTAAGCTCGTATTTCTTTCTCAGGATCCTCTTCAGGGTGATTTTCCGGTGTGGCAGCATCGATGGACTGTTGTTAACCACCATCATATCAACGTAGTCATTACATTCCATGTCAGGAATCAGCTGTTGAGGAAATGAGTTACTTTAGCCATAACCTAAGTACTTATAACAAATACACTCAGTTCTCTTACAAAACTCTATATGGGATAATTTTTTTGTATATGCATTTAGTAGTAGTAGGATGGTAGACAGCAACCACCCAGGGAGGTACTACCGTCCTGTGGTAGTAGGTTGGTAGACAGCAACCACCCAGGGAGGTACTACTGTCCTGTGGTAGTAGGTGGTAGACAGCAACCACACAGGGGAGGTTACTACCGTCCTGTGGTAGTAGGTTGGTAGACAGCAACCACCTAGGGAGGTACTACCATCCTGTGGTAGTAGGTTGGTAGACAGCAACCACCCAGGGAGGTACTACTGTCCTGTGGTAGTAGGATGGTAGACAGCAACCACACAGGGAGGTACTACCGTCCTGTGGTAGTAGGTTGGTAGACAGCAACCACCCAGGGAGGTACTAACCGTCCTGTGGTAGTAGGTGGTAGACAGCAACCACCAGGGAGGTACTACCGTCCTGTGGTAGTAGCTGGTAGACAGCAACCACCCAGGGAGGTACTTACCGTCCTGTGGTAGTAGCTGGTAGACAGCAACCACCCAGGGAGGTACTACCATCCTGTGGTAGTAGGCTGGTAGACAGCAACCACCCAGGGAGGTACTACCGTCCTGTGGTAGTAAGTTGGTAGACAGCAACCACCCGGGGAGGTACTACCGTCCTGTGGTAGTAGGTTGGTAGACAGCAACCACCCAGGGAGGTACTACCATCCTGTGGTAGTAGGTTGGTAGACAGCAACCACCCAGGGAGGTACTCCCGTCCTGTGGTAGTAGGTTGGTAGACAGCAACCACCCAGGGAGGTACTACCATCCTGTGGTAGTAGGTTGGTAGACAGCAACACCCAGGGAGGTATACCGTCCTGTGGTAGTAGGTTGGAAAGGACGAAACCCCACCCAGGGAGGTACTACCGTCCTTGGTAGTAGGTTGGTAGACAGCAACCACCCAGGGAGGTACTACCGTCCTGTGGTAGTAGTTGGTAGACAGCAACCACCCAGGGAGGTACTACCGTCCTGTGGTAGTAGGTTGGTAGACAGCAACCACCCAGGGAGGTACTACCGTCCTGTGGTAGTAGGTTGGTAGACAGCAACCACCTAGGGAGGTACTACCATCCTGTGGTAGTAGGTTGGTAACAGCAACCACCCATGGAGGTACTACCAGTCTGTGGTAGTAGTTGGTAGACAGCAACCAACCAGGGAGGTACTACCATCCTGTGGTAGTAGGTTGGTAGACAGCAACCACCCAGGGAGGTACTACCGTCCTGTGGTAGTAGGTTGGTAGACAGCAACCACCCAGGGAGGTACTACCATCCTGTGGTAGTAGGTTGGTAGACAACAACCACCCAGGGAGGAAACTACCGTCCTGTGTAGTAGGTTGGTAGACAGCAACCACCCAGGGAGGTACTACCGTCCTGTGGTAGTAGGTTGGTAGACAGCAACCACCCAGGGAGGTACTACCGTCCTGTGGTAGTAGGTTGGTAGATAGCAACCACCCAGGGAGGTACTACCGTCCAGTGGTAGTAGGTTGGTAGACAGCAACCACCCAGGGAGGTACTACCGTCCTGTGGTAGTAGGTTGGTAGACAGCAACCACCCAGGGAGGTACTACCATCCTGTGTTAGTAGGTTGGTAGACAGCAACCACCCAGGGAGGTACTACCGTCCTGTGGTAGTAGGTTGGTAGACAGCAACCACCCAGGGAGGTACTACCGTCCTGTGGTAGTAGGTTGGTAGACAGCAACCACCCAGGGAGGTACTACCGTCCTGTGGTAGTAGGTTGGAAGACAGCAACCACCAAGGGAGGTACTACCGTCCTGTGGTAGTAGGTTGGAAGACAGCAACCACCCAGGGAGGTACTACCGTCCTGTGGTAGTAGGTTGGAAGACAGCAACCACCCAGGGAGGTTCTACCGTCCTGTGGTAGTAGGTTGGAAGACAGCAACCACCCAGGAGGTACTAACCGTCCTGTGGTAGTAGGTTGGAAGACAGCAACCACCCAGGGAGGTTCTACCGTCCTGTGGTAGTAGGTTGGAAGACAGCAACCACCCAGGGAGGGACTACCATCCTGTGGTAGTAGGTTGGTAGACAGCAACCACCCAGGGAGGTACTACCGTCCTGTGGTAGTAGGTTGGAAGACAGCAACCACCCAGGGAGGTTCTAACCGTCCTGTGGTAGTAGGTTGGTAGACAGCAACCACCCAGGGAGGTTCTACTGTCCTGTGGTAGTAGGTTGGTAGACAGCAACCACCCAGGGAGGTTCTACCGTCCTGTGGTAGTAGGTTGGTAGACAGCAACCACCCACGAAGGTACTACCATCCTGTGGTAGTAGGTTGGTAGACAGCAACCACCCAGGGAGGTACTACCGTCCTGTGGTAGTAGGTTGGTAGACAGCAACCACCCAGGGAGGTACTACCGTCCTGTGGTAGTAGGTTGGTAGACAGCAACCACCCAGGGAGGTACTACCGTCCTGTGGTAGTAGGTTGGTAGACAGCAACCACCCAGGGAGGTACTACCATCCTGTGGTAGTAGGTTGGTAGACAGCAACCACCCAGGAGGGTACTACCGTCCTGTGGTAGTAGGTTGGTAGACAGCAACCACCCAGGGGGGTACTACGTCCTGTGGTAGTAGGTTGGTAGACAGCAACCACCCAGGGAGGTACTACCGTCCTGTGGTAGTAGGTTGGTAGACAGCAACCACCCAGGGAGGTACTACCGTCCTGTGGTAGTAGGTTGGTAGACAGCAACCACCCAGGGAGGTACTACCGTCCTGTGGTAGTAGGTTGGTAGACAGCAACCACCCAGGGAGGTACTACCGTCCTGTGGTAGTAGGTTGGTAGACAGCAACCACCCATGGAGGTACTACCGTCCTGTGGTAGTAGGTTGGTAGACAGCAACCACCCAGGGAGGTACTACCGTCCTGTGGTAGTAGGTTGGTAGACAGCAACCACCCAGGGAGGTACTACCCTCCTGTGGTAGTAGGTTGGTAGACAAGCAACCACCCAGGGAGGTACTACCGTCCTGTGGTAGTAGGTTGGAAGACAGCAACCACCCAGGGAGGTACTACCGTCCTGTGGTAGTAGGTTGGAAAACAGCAACCACCCAGGGAGGTTCTACCGTCCTGTGGTAGTAGGTTGGTAGACAGCAACCACCCAGGGAGGTACTACCGTCCAGTTGTAGTAGGTTGGTAGACAGCAACCACCCAGGGAGGTACTACCATCCTGTGGTAGTAGGTTGGCAGACAGCAACCACCCAGGGAGGTACTACCGTCCTGTGGTAGTAGGTTGGTAGACAGCAACCACCCAGGGATGTACTACTGTCCTGCCGAGTGTAAAACGAAAGTCTGTAATTGTTTTACATGATGGTAGGATTGCTGGTGTCTTTTGTCTGTCTCATAAACATGCAAGATTTCAGGTACGTCTTCCTACTTCTACTTACACTTAGGTCACACTACACATACATGTACAAGCATATATATACACACCCCTCTGGGTTTTCTTCCATTTTCTTTCTAGTTCTTCTTCTTGTTTATTTCCTCTTATTTCCATGGGGAAGTGGAACAAAATTCTTCCTCCGTAAGCCATGCGTGTTGTAAGAGGCGACAAAATGCTGGGAGCAAGGGGCTAGTAACCCCTTCTCCTATATAAATTACTAAATTTAAAAAGAGAAACTTTCATTTTTCTTTTGGGGCACCCTGCCTTGTTGGGATACAGCCAGTTTGTTGAATAAAAAAAAATTAGTAGTGCAGTGGACCCCCGCATACCGCACGCATCGCATACCGTACAATCCGCATACCGCTCGCTTTTTTCGCAAAAATTTTGCCTCGCATACCGCCCAAAAACCCGCTCACCGCTCTTCGTCCAAGACGCGTCCAATGTGCGGCCTGAGCCACGCTCACATGTTCCGCTGGTGGCATTGTTTACCAGCCAGCCTCCGCGGTAACATCCAAGCATACAATCGGAACATTTCGTATTATTACAGTGTTTTTGGTGATTTTTTCTGGAAAATAAGTGACCATGGGCCCCAAGAAAGCTTCTAGTGCCAACCCTACAGCAATAAGGGTGAGAATTACTATAGAGATGAAGAAAAAGATCATTGATAAGTATGAAAGTGGAGTGCGTGTCTCCGAGCTGGCCAGGTTGTAATAATAAACCCCAATCAACCATCGCTACTATTGGTGGCACAGCTGCTGTACCACCGTCAGCTGCTGCTGCACTGTCAGCTGCTGCTGCTGTTGTACCACCGTCAGCTGCTGCTGCTGCTGTAGTACCGTCTGCTGCTGCTGTAGCATCGTCTGCTGCTGCTGTAGCATCGTCTGCTGCTGCTGTAGCATCGTCTGCTGCTGCTGTAGCATCGTCTGCTGCTGCTGTAGCATCGTCTGCTCCTGCTGTAGGCATCGTCTGCTGCTGCTGTAGCATCGTCTGTTGCTGCTGTAGCATCGTCTGCTGCTGCTGTAGCATCGTCTGTTGCTGCTGTAGCATCGTCTGTTGCTGCTGTACCACCGTCAGCTGCTGCTGCTGCTGTAGCACCGTTGTTGGTGTGGCTTATTGAGAATACCAAGAAACAATTAACCCCAGAGGATTTGCCACCCAGGATAACCCAAAAAAGTCAGTGTCATCGAAGACTGTCTAACTTATTTCCATTGGGGTCCTTAATCTTGTCTCCCAGGATGCAACCCACACCAGTCGACTAACACCCAGGTGAACAGGGAAAAATGCCTGGAACTAGTGCTCATATTGGTGAATTTAAAGCCAGAAAAGGTTGGTTTGAGAGATTTAAGAATCGTAGTGGCATACACAGTGTGATAAGGCCTGTTCTGGAAGAAAATGCCAAACAGGACCTACAGTACTCAGGAGGAAAAGGCACTCCCAGGACACAGTGTCTCATCAGTCATTGCTGCATCTTCAATAAAGGTAAGTGTCATTTATTCTTCATTTAGTAGACTAGTACATGCACAATATATACTGTG